TGTTCAGTTGTTATTCAGAATTTCTCCTCTTCTCACCTTCATTCTACCTTCTGCAGCACCATGTGAATGTGAATGGCAATTAAAAAGGAAAAGGCTATTGTTGCAAAATTGCCAGCACACTTTCCTTTCACCATGAATGCAAGACAAATGGTAAGAAGAGAAGATCAACTAAGAGGCTTGGATTCTAAAACAAATGAAGAACAGTTACAGGAATTAGGTATGTCTAATCTAGAGAAAAGAAGGACGAAGGGTGACATGATAGCAGTGTTCCAATATTTGAGGGGCTGCACCAAAGAAGAAGAGGTCAATCCATTTTCCAAAGCACCAGAAGGCAAGATAAGAAATCAAGGAGAGAAGCAATCTAGAACTAAGGAGAAATTTCCTAACTGTGAGAACAGTTAATCAGTGGAACAAGCTTGCCTTCAAAAGTTGTGGGTATGTCATCACTGGAGGCTTTAAGAAGAGACTAAGCAGCCCTTTGTTGGAAATGGTCTAGGCCAAGCCAGGGTCTCCTTCTTAAGCAGGGGGTTGGACTAGAAGATCTCCAAGGTCCCTTCCAACTCTATTTCTCTGAATTCTGTGGCTTGCTGAGTTTGTAGTTCTTTATATGACAGCTGCTCAGCTTTTTTTTTTTTTTTTTTTGCAAAAGGACTATGCAAACACATACAGTATGTTTGGAAATGTGATTGGACTGCTGGGGAGGGGTCTTTTTCTGTTCCAGAATATGCAGCAATTTGGAACTGGACACCAATTGAATACTCCCCATCCTCCTCTTAGATGGAGGAAAAGTATTAATATTTCCACCCATTCTGTGCATTTCAAGTTTGGTAGAACCAAAGATAATTGCCATCACTTTTTGTTCAAAGTGTTCCACGTAGCAAATTTGGACAACTCGGTACTCAACTCTGGTTGCAGAACCATTGTAAACAATTAAAAGCTTGATCCTCCTAGTGATTCTTGGGGAACCTTTGTACACATCTCCATGGAAAGGACTGTCAGTTTATATTCCTCTTGTCTAGTCTGTTTCCTGCTGGCTACTACATGTTTTAGGGGAATTTGAAGAGAGGCTATGTTGCAATCTTTTGAAAGTCACATTGTTGATATAAACAGTTAAATCTATTAGTAATATGCGGCTTAGTTTTGCA